GAAACTTGGTATTACAAGAAGCACTTCCTGTGTCTATTTGCCTCTTTAAGATGAATCGCTTGATTTGCAAAAATTACTCGATCTTGCAGGTTTGCATTGCACAACATCAGAAAGATCAGGCCCTTCCTAATGGAGCATGCTGCACAACTTCTTGTTCAGGCCCTTGTCATTTCTAGGCTGAACTACTGCAATACTCTTCTAGCTGGACTTCCATCATGCACAATCAAATCTTTACAAATGATTCAGAATGCAGCGGCACGACTGGTCTTTAACGAGCCTACGTCACATCTCTCTTTATCTCCCTGTACTGGCTGCCGGTTATGGCTCGCATCAAGTTCAAGACACTGATGCTTGCATATAGAACAGCCACAGGCTCAGCACCCGCCCACTTCCACTCACTTGTACGAATCTACATTCCCACCAGAAGTCTGAGATCCACTAGTGAGCGATGCCTTGTGGTGCCATCACAGAGAGGCACAAAATCACTTTCCAGAACATTTTCGTTCACCATTAATTGCTGGTGGAATGATCTCCCAGCCTCTATCCGGAATGCTGATTCCCTGACCATTTTTAAACAACAGCTGAAAACTAACTTTTTTCATCACTATCTGACTTCATCCTAAAGAAAAAAATATATTTTTCTCTTTTCTTTAATCTTTCCCTGTCTAGCTTGTACTTATTTGAACAATGCTTGAAACTTGGTATTACAAGAAGCACTTCCTGTGTCTATTTGCCTCTTTAAGATGAATCGCTTGATATATTCCCCAATTGTAAGTCGCTTTGGATAAAAGCATCTGCTAAATGAATAAATGTAAATGTCAATGTAAACTCAAACCTCTTTCAGTTGTCATAAAGTAAAAAAATAAAATACAAATCTTTTTTGTATTTGTATTGACTTTTTTATTGTGAAAAGTGTTCAAATATTAAGGTAATATATTGCAAGTTGTATGTAAAATTGAGTATTTAGTAAAAGTATTTCTTACAATGCTAATTTTTATGTTTTCATTTCATTTTTAAAATAAAATAATTATATTTATATTGTGAAAAGTATTAAAATATTAAAGGGGTCATATGATGCGATTTCAAGTTTTCCTTTCTCTTTGGAGCATTACAAGCTGATTGTGCATAGATAAGATCCCTGAAGTTGCAAAGACTAAAGTCTCAAAACCAAAGAGATATTCTTTATCAAAGTTAAGACTCTGCCACGCCCCCCTAAAATGGCTCGTTCTAACACGCCCCCACATATCTACCTCACTATGTGGAAATATTTGCATAATGCCGCCCGAATGTGCACGCAAAGAAAGAAGACATGGTTTCAGTAACCGCAGTTAGTGTTGAAGCAGCTCTGTTAAGAGCCACTTTGTCCCCAGAATATGATTACAGTAAGTTGGTACACACACACACACACACACACACACACACACACAGGTTTTCCTATCATTAGTGACATTCCATAGGAGTAATTGGTTTTATACTGTCTCCCCCTAAACTAACCCTACTCCTAAATATCCTTACAAATATTTTTTTCTTCTCATTGGACCCAAAAAAGGACAATGATTTCAGATATTGCCATCGTTGTGGGGACATTTTGTCCCCATAAAATAGGGTTTACCTGAACCACACACACACCCTTACAAAATAGTGGTTATCATCTTAAAGATAAATCCCTTTTTGTGTAAAAATAATTAATTGCATTTGGTTATCCCTAAATTGCAATCAAGTTCTATATAAACTACATATCTATTGAATATATATCTATAGATGCACCCAATGATTCACTGATTAACCATTAAGATGAGTTAGATTCAATAACAGACAAATGTATTAAACTGAATGGGAAGTCATGCAAATGAAAAGTTTGACAGTAAAAGCTTTATGTAGTGAAAAGGATATTTTGTGATTGTGCGTATTGTACGAACACAATTGAAAATATGCTGAAATGTCGATCTGAATGAGTTCTACTGCAGGTTTGAAAAAACACCCCACACCCGCCATGAACACCTCTCCACACAACCATTCACACCTCCAGCAACCCCCCTCTCCCCCACACCTGCCATTCAGATCAGCAAAGACGAGGTGCACCAGGTCTTCCGGAAGCAGAAAAGGAAAAAAGCACCAGGCCCAGATTGTGTTACACCAGTCTGTCTGAAATCCTGTGCTGACCCTATTTATTCACACATACACTTATTTATCTAACACACACACTCAGTCTACATTTCAATTTGCACATAATATACCTGTACATACAACTGTCTATTGTTATATACCTGTATATTTTTATTCCTTATTTACTTGTTCTATTTTTTATTTATTTTTATTATCTGTGTTTTTTGTTCTGTCACTGTCATTCTGTTACACTGTGGAGCTTCTGTCACGAAAACAAATTCCTCGTATGTGTAAACATACCTGGCAATAAAGCTCATTCTGATTCTGATTCTAAATTCTAAGTACTTTTGTGCAGTAGTATGCATAGCTACTCAGATCGCAATGTTAGCAAATTTATAGCATGCATAGCAAATTCAGATGCAAGGTTAGAAATAATATTAGCAGCAGCATGCATAGCAAGTCATATTGTTATTGTTGCTAATATAGCAGCAGCAGCAGAAAGCGCTTTAGTTGCATGAAAGTTTAGTGATAAATCATGGAGGGTAAATTTAACTCTTTAAATTGCAATAGGCATTTATTACTTTGCTTATTCAACAGGGCTTACAGCAGGTTTAGTGCAGCAGCAGATTATGCTTAGCAAATTCTAATTAAATATTACAACCGCAACAGCTCGCACAGTAAATTCCTACTACAGCATTGTGAATATCATTAACAGCAACAGCATGTTCTTCAACTCAGTATTAAAATGTTAGTTAATATTATCATCAGTGCAGTAGCAGCAGCTTGAATAGCTATTCAGTCATCGAGATTTTTCTCAGCAGCAGCATGCACAGTATTTCTATGTTGCAAATTTTTATTTGGACACAGTTAATGTAAAAGCAGACAACTGCATTTAAATAAAGTCACAGTAGTGTCTTAAAGGGTTAGTTCACCCAAAAATTAAAATTGGCTCGTGTTTTACTCACCCTCGAAGCATCCTAGGTGTATATGACTTTCTTCTTTCAGACGAACGCAGTTGGAGTTATATTAAAAATTGTCCTGGCTATTCCAAGCGTTATCATTGCAGTCAGCGGGTGTTGCAGTTGAACAGTCCACAAGTCGTCAAATAAAGCGTTCGCATTCATAATAAAACGTGCTTCACACTACTCCGGGGCGTGAATAAAGGCCTCCTGTAGCGAATCCATGTGTTTTTGTAAGAAAAATATCCATATTTCAAATGTAATAAACACTTTTACATCACTTCCGTCATCTGTCATACGCAGAAGTCGTGCCGGCGGATGACGCAGCACGTCGGCGTTGCGTGATTAGTGCCGAACGCGGAGAGACAACAAAACAAAATGCCGGTCACGAATTAGAAGTACAAACTGAAGATTTGCAAAGAAAAATGTTGGAGGTTTTCGATATAAGCCAAGAAGAGACTGGTTTTCCCTTGCTAGAGTAAGGAAGCTTTGCTTCCTTTGCTCCTTTAAACAAACTCGCGAGACTAGCATATCTCAGAGGCGTGCCTAATACGTCATACGCCTTCCACCGGAACGCCTTTCATGTATGACAGATACCGGAAGTGAGAGAAAAGTGTTTATTACGTTTAAAATATGGATATTTTTCTTACAAAAACACATGGATTCGCTACAGGAGGCCTTTATTCACCACCCCCCTCCCCCACCACCAGCACGTTTTATTATGAATGCGCACGCTTTATTTGATGACTTGTGAACTGTTCAACTGCAACACCTGCTGACTGCAATGATAGAGCTTGGAATAGCCAGGACAATTTTTTATATAACTCCGACTGGATTCGTCTGAAAGAAGAAAGTCATATACACCTAGGATGCTTCGAGGGTGAGTAAAACACAAGCCAGTTTTCATTTTTGGGTGAACTATCCCTTTAAGACCATCTTGGAACAAGCCATGCATTTAGCAATGATGTGTTTATACAATGCAAACATCATTGTTCTTAATATGCAATATAAATATTTTAAATTATCAAAATAAATGAGCAGCTGCTTTTGAGGCATAATTAGTCCTGGGCATATGACACCACAACTACAGGGTGTACAGTGATTTATTCTTTCACCAAATATTTTGTTAGCTTATTAATAAGTTAAAGGTAAGTATTTCCATTGCAGTAACGTTGATGAATGTTAATGAAAAAAAAAATTACAACTCTTGAATGACAAATTGAAAACTATTTGCTCAGGCCGCCCGAGCCTGAGTCAGGTGGTTGCTGGGGGTTACTTCATCTAGCAGCCTACAGTGTGATTGCTGTTTGTTAATGACACACATAGTGCGTGTTTCTACCTAGGTAAGTTTGAGCTATTGGCTCAGACACACATAGTTATTTAGGTCACTAGTTTAAGCTATCTGGTCAACTGATCAGGTACACACAGAAATAGTTAACTAGAGTTAAGCCATTCGGCAAAGCCAGCCCAGGCTCACATAGATAGCAAACCAACGTTCTCACGGCTCTCCGGAGCAGTTGCAGTACATATGTCTTGGCAATAGGTGCTGCTTGTTCTGGGGGGTTTTATCTTTTATATTTATTCTGCCTTATAGGGATGATTTTAAGCATATAATTGTATAGCAGCAGCATACATATTTAGATTTTTTGTTTTCTTCTTCCATGTTATTTGTGCAGCAGCAGTATGTCTTAAATGCTCACGGCACCATATCGCCATATGCATTGGCAGTAGCAAGTTCCTGTACTTGCTTGCAGCAGCAGCAATAATCTACAACTACAGCAATAACCACCAGCAGCAGTGTAGCAGATCTATTCCGCCAAGACCAAATACATTAACATTGTCATATCCATCACCATGCTAAAATCTTCTGAGAGTTGTCATGATTGAAATATATATATATATATATATATATATAATAAAGAAAGTGCTGTTCACCTGGTGATGTCTTCTGATAGCTGGGCAGGATCAGGCGGGTAGAACTTCACATTGAATGTGAAATCGTAGTTGGTGCCTAAATAAATGCAAACATGATTTAAAACAGGAACAACAGAAAATTAGGCACTAAAGGCCTTTCCACACTGAGTGCGGAAAAGCGAAACGAATATCGGATGCGATGACGTGCTGGAATAAAACAACAGATTACTATGGATGCTTCCACATAGACCGCAAACATTCGTACACACCGAAAATGCGAATGTTTTTTTTTCTGGTGTTACCCAAAAGGTTGACGAGGTGGCGCAGTTTCGCAAATGCTCAGAAGACTGTTTTGAGCACGAGCGTAAAAACACAGAAGTAGAGGACTTTCAGCCAACATACAAAGAATATGGATGTCGAGATGTTGTTGTCGTTGGTGTCTGAACATAGAGATATATTTATATTTATATTCATACAATATATTTTCTGTATATGTTTTTTGCAGCTCATGGTATTTTTATAACAATAAAGGATGTTTATGACAAATGACAAGCAGGTAGCTTTTAGTCCATTATAACATACAAAAAGTGCATGTCTGCCTATTATAGAAGCAAAATCCATTTTAGATCACAAGTTATTACAAGCACTCGATGATGGTTTAAAGGGGGGTTTGAACAAAAACATTAATTACATACATTTTGAAATGCAGCTTGATGCTAATTGTACCTCTAATTATATTTTCTTGTAAGCATTATGGATAATTTGTGTTTCTGATGAAGAACCAAAAGTTATTTATCTTAATTTAAAGGTGGGTTAAGCGATTTCTGGTAGCCAATTTCGACATTTGAAATCACCAAAACATACACACCCCTACCCCAAAAGGGTCTTGCCCCTATTTTGATAGCTCCGCCCCACACATACGTACGCAACCCAGGCAACGATTAGTTCTGTGAAACAAAGCAAAACCAATGTCCGTGTCTACACCGGACGCGAGTGGCGCAGCGTGACAAAAAACTATAGAACTCATAATAATCAGTGATGTGGTCTACACTATAGATATATATATATACATATCTATGGTCTACACTGGATACGGCGCGGCTCGACATGACAAATCCCCGACAGAAAACTGCTGCCGTGTTCTATTTATGACGTATTGACACAAATTTTTTCAATAATTTTTCAATGATTTTCAACGGTCGCTTTGTCGCGTCCAGTGTACTAGACAGACTTTAGCTGTTGCGGCGCAGACACGGTGTTACTCACCTATCGAGAAGAAACAAAGCAACCTCGCCGTCCGATCGCAGGCCTCCGCTCCTTGAGTTCTCTCCAGCGCTGGAAAGCTGATCTGATATTTACACGGGTCCTACTTCTTGCCTTAAGCCTTCTTTTGTTCCACAGATATTTTCCTCTCTTGTTTTTTATCCGCCATCTCTATCTTTCTTTCTAATGTCCGTCCTGTGCACTGAACACCCTCTCCTCCACATCATGAGTAGACACGCCCCTTACTGCTGATTGGCTACAAGTTTCTTTTGCTATTCGGCCCGAATCAGTTTTCTAAAGCGTTTTTGAAAAATCACTTACCCCACCTTTAATGCTGTATAATGAGCAGTGGATGATGTAAAAGCCATATATGAGATACATAGGCTACATGAGGAAAAATGCATTGCTGGTCGGTGCCACCTAGCGTGCAGGCGTGAATTAGCAGAAGGCGATTAATCGTTTCGCGCTCAGTGTAAAAGCAAAGTTTGTCAGCGATTCGCCTCGCTTTTTCGCATCGCGCTCAGTGTGAAACGGCCGTAACTTTATTGTATATGTCAAGGAGATGAACGGCGGTGATGTGACTCACCTTGTACTTGCCGTCTGATCTCCTTGGTGAAGTCCAGCCATGTCTAAAAGACAAATAAAGCTTTAACTAAAGGCCTGTTTACACTCTAAAGTCTGCCAATTTAAATGACCAAGCTCTTTTGGGCAGATTCTGATTGGTTGCCAGTGTTTTTATCATTTATAAGTTGTGAAAATAAAAATGGTTGTGAAAGTGATTTCAGTTATATAATTCCTCTGTGTAGTTGTTATTGTTACAACTGTGGTGTAGATTTATAATTCTATTCTTATAGAATTAACAGTAGAATGATTAATAAACTTCATAATTATTGTTATAAAATGGTGTTTTATAGCAATAGTAAAGAATATTGTTTAAATAATTGTTTAAATAATTTAAAAAGAAAACAACCTTTATTTCTATTTTGACTAGAATTCCACTCCAAAGCTAATCTAAACATGAAGAAAACATGCTGGCAAGAAAAAAAAAACATGCCACCTACAGTTAATATTAAAAGAGTGAGTGAGTGCTAACAGATTGAGGCACCTTTATGGTTGTCGTCTCCCATATGGCCAGACCATAATAGTCCTTCTCTAACAGGTTTAGGTGGTCACACACTTTTGCAAACAGCTCCTGGCCTTTGGCATGTTTCTGGAAACAAAGAAATGTAGTTAAAACACAGAAGACTCATGATCATGACATAAAAGAGTGAAAATTATGAGATACTATGTCATAATGTTTTTTTTCTTATGTGGCACAAATGTGCTTCCATAAATGAATGCATATTGTGCACAGTAAGCACATTTTCTCTATGCATGGAATATGCAGACGGTTTCACCTACTATTTTTGAAGTATACCGTTCATGTTCTATAAAAATAGTTGCCTTATATTCCATTCTGAACATAGAGACTCTTGTGTGGAAATAGAATTGTTAGCTTAGCTCGCTACATGCTAACAGCAGAATTAGCTGTGAATGTAAAAGCGAGACTTGCGGGTCAAGTTGCTGCTAATAAGGATGTTCTGTTTCACTTAGGATGCGGTCTCTGTAGATAGTAGACATCGAGTCTGCTCAGTCGGTTTTAGACAAGAGCCACACAGTACGATGGCAACAAAAACAGGCCAAAGTGTCAGATCAGCAGAAATAGTCTCTCGGTAGTCTGAGAGTTAATTAGCAAAGGAAGTACAAGCCCTTGAGCAACGCTTGAGTTTCAGAGTCGCTCTCGCGGGACTAGACAACGATACGGCACACTTGATAAGCAACGAAAGAGGTGTGTGTATGTATGTGTGTGTGTGTCTCTTACTTCCAGCTCACACTCGAACAGAGTATCATCCAGCAGCTTGACTTTGCAGTACAGGATCCTGGGGCGGCGAGATGCTTTCTGCTTCTTCCCCTCCTCCTCCTCCTCCTCCTCCTCCACCACATTCTCCTCCTGTTTCTCTTCCTCTTTTTCTCCTTCCTCCTTTACCTCTGTTTCTGCCACACCTGCGTCTTCCAGCTTGGCCTCTTCCTCTACTATCTCTTTTTCCTTCTCACACTCCTTGTCTTTCTCTCCCTCCTCTCCTTTGGCCTTGTCCTCATTTTTCTTCTCTTTCTTCTCTTTTTTCTCCTTCCCTTTCTTCTCTGCTTTCTCTTTTTTCTCTGGCTTCTCCTTCTTCTCCTTGTCTGCTTTCTCCTTCTTCACCTTTTCCTTCTTCTCCTTCTTCTCCTTCTTTTCCTTCTTCTCCCCCTTTTCTGCCTTGCCGGACTCCAGCTTGGCGTCTTCCTTCTGATCTGCTACGATTTTCTGGAGGAAGAAAAATATGTTAAAAATCCAAAATTTAGATTATTAAACAATGAATTCGCTGGAGGAAGACTAATTTGTACCTTTTTAGAACCAAGGTTTCTTACAGAATGATTATTTTAGAGTTTTTGAAAGTAGGCCAACTTGATTGCTAATAACCAATAATTTCGTATGTGTAAAACATAAACTAAAAGCCTTTTTTTTTTGCAGTCACTGATGATACTAGCAATGATTGTAAAAAAAATTCACAAATGGTATCATCATGGTCTAAGCAGACCACCTCGTTCCTCAAGCTGCTACAAAGTAAAGCAAAACATCAACTCAACACCCTGTTCCTTATGCATCATTTCTGTTTACCACCATACTGTATACATTTTTTTCCCTGAGCTTGTCACAGTGTATTCTGGGATTGCCAAGGTCACTTAGAACAGAGCATACTTATACACTGTCAATTTCGGAAGATCCTTCAAACTGGTCTAATGAGAGTTCATAATTTGTACAGGATGGTGAAATGACAAAAAGAACCTCTAAAAATGTAACACTTTCATGCATATAAAATATGAAAATACCCATAGCAGATCTATACAGGTGGTGCTGGGGGAGGTGGAGGGTTTCTGAATCAAACTATTTAAATGTTAAGCAGCCTTAATTTTTTAAAGGGGTCATATGATGCGATTTCAATTTTTCCTTTCTCTTTGGAGTGTTACAAGCTCTTGGTGCATAAAGAAGATCTGTAAAGTTGCAAAGACTAAAGTCTCAAATCCAAAGAGATATTCTTTATAAAAGTTCAGTCAGCCACACCTACCTAAAACGGCTCGTTTTAACACGCCCCCACATATCTACCTCACTATGTGGGAAGATTTGCATAACACCTCCCAAATATTCACGCAAAGAAAGAAGGCGTAACTTTTATTCTCACTGTAGTATTGTTGATGCTGCAGCCATGTCGTGAAGACACTGTGTGCTTCGTTGTGAAAGCGAAACTACTTTGTTTGGTCTTCCAAAAGAGGACGATATCCACTTCGTCATGCCTATCTGTGCATATATGTGCTGGTCGCTGAGGAAATATAACAACTTTCACCGTGGACAAAGCGGAGTCCAGCCCGGGGTCCGTTACATGTGGTTGCCGCTCATTCGTCACATCCGCCGGGTGCGCCGTTCTCGACCCCGCCGCCTCAGCTCATGCTAGCCCGGCCTCAGCTCACTCTAGCCCGGCCTCAGCGCACGCTAAGCCTGGGCTTCCCCTCACGCTAGGCCGCTGTGTTTTTCGTTGTGAAAGCGAAACTACTTTGTTTGGCCTTCCAAAAATGGACACGACTAGAAATCAGTGGTTAAGTTGTATTTACAACACTGTTCCAGAACACGTCAACCCAAATATTCGGATGTGTCCAGCACATTTTATGGAGGACGTTTCCTGATCCTGGTAGAGTAGACTACAATGCCGGCTGATCTGACTGCAAAATTCATAAAAAAAATATATATACTCACTTCTTCTGTAGGTGAAGCTGGATCACGAATGATTCGCGTGAACATAGACACATTTAGGTACTTAGATCGGAGGATGTATTCCCTTCAAAAACAAAGCTAATCCACTGCGTCTTCAGCGGCTCAGATGTCGGGAGTAAATGACGATTACTATGTTCATTATTACATCCAACAACAGAACACCTCAATCGCTATGGAGCCATTCTTGTCTACATCTGCTCCGGCGGTGAAA